CCAGCATCTGCTGACCGAGATTGTCTTATCAGCGGTTGGGCGTCAAGGTTCAGAGAGGGGGGCGAGAACGACGAGGACGAACATGCGGGGGGAGGGGAAGGGCTAATCTCACTGCCCAAAGTGGATGAATCTACCACTGCGTTGAAGCTCACCCAGCCGTCAGGGGGCTGGAACAAACATGGATAACAAAAGCCGGATGATAAAGATTCCCTGGACCAGAAACTTCCGCGCATCCAAGATAAAGGTGGGCCCTACCGCAAGGGACGGCAATCAGACAAAACCCACGATATCCCGTTTCTCCAAAACTGTTTAACAATCACGAACCAATCATGGGTCCGGACTGCTTTGTCTCCAACCTGTTTTAAGACGCGGGTTGGAAAAAGAATACACACTCGAGTACTAGTACAAAATGACCGTACTTGTACAGCAAAAGAAAGCAAAAAAAGGGAATCCCGCCGAAAGTCAAGCCACTAACTAAACCATGAGGTGAAAGTAGGACCCGGGTTCGATACCCACACTTCAACTCCCTACTTCCTCTATCTCACTGCTCCTCGAGTACCGGTGCGGCCTGCGGTCGAGATACCATACATACATACGTTACATACATTACAGACGTGTGGACTTCCCCTGAGCCAAATTAAACCAAAAAAACACTGCAAATCACCCTCCGCCCTAATTTCTCCAGACACACTCATCATGGCCGGGGGGAAGATAAATTACTCCAGAATGCTTGAGTGCATACGGCAGTCTATCACTTCGCTAAAAACAAAACAAGAAAAAAAACAAAAAAAAACAAAGAAACCTCCCTATTTAGCAATGCATACATACCGCTACCGGTAGCAAGGAATTATCCTCTGGCTTTTACGAACTAACCATTACCCCTATTATTGTACGATACCTCATCCCCTTCCCCTCCCCTGGCTTGCTGCGGGAGCACTTAACTTGCACGATATTGCATACAAGTACTAGTACATAGACTAACGAGCAATCTTAAATTAGCGAACTTTTTTATTTTCTTCTCTCTCAGTTCCTGCAGAATGTTATATTTGGCATCGACCAGACTCTCAATCAGGAGGGGATGCAATTGCCGGTTTATCCTTTCCGGGGAAGAAGTGGCTGTATTAAAATAGAAACGAAAAAAGGCAAGGAAAGGCAGCGCAAAGAAGGAAACTGTAATGTATACCCCTTTTTTGCGTCAAGGTGTGGGAGGTTAGGGATTGCCGAGGGATTTTGATTTGATTGGTGGCTGGAACGGGTGATGTTCAGGCAGACAAATCAGGTGCCGGCGGGCGCCTGACGCGTGTGTTGGCGGCAATGGAAAAGTGGCTGGGAATGGGGCGAAAAAGCTTGTTCTCGGGAGAGTTGATTCCCCGATGCAGGATGGGGAAGGCTTCACATGAGGTAAGTATGAATGATTGGGCTCGAAGGCGAGGCTGCTGGTGCCAGCCGTACTGCATGGTGGTTTAGGGATTGAGTTGGGTAACATTGAATTAGGATACCGAAACTGATGGGTCAACCTATAGTGAATCGCGCGGGGCGGCGGCGGTGGAGGGGCTTCGCTACCCCTAGACCGGGGAGGATGGGAGTCGTTGAGCCGGGCGATACGCACAGGATGTGGGGGTCGATTCCCATGTTTAGGGTAGCTATCTGGCCTACCGTACCGTGCTCGAGTGGCCTAACGGCTGGCTGCTTTGTCATTGATTTTCGGGGGGAAGGGGGGGTGGACGGCCTCGGTTGGCCTCTTACACCACTCGGGTCCTTCACGCACCCCACATAATTGCTGGTGAACGGCGCTGCATGATACGGGAACAACCTTTTTTTCTTCATTTTATTTTTATTTCCCCCCTTCGCGCGGCGTTTCGTCTCTAGGAGCACCATGCCTCGGTGGGTGCACCAACCAATACCTACCATGGGTAGCCTTGCAATGCTCGCTTGGGTCTATTTACTTGTTTGTTTTTCTTATTCATCTGTTGACCCGTCCATCCGCTCGAGGCTGCATTGACCGCCGTATCATATAGACTATAGTGATCTTTCGTGTGAAGTACTGTGCAGTGGCAGGCCTGGACCTGGAGTAGGGTAATATTCCGGTACCGTATTTTTCTTCCCACTGGAGAATGGCGCTATCATATTTATGCAGTTGGGCCGGGTAGGGGAGTATTGTGATAGGTAGCCTTGTTACCATTTCTGCGCTGCGCTGTATCATACAAGTACGGTACAGCACTGTGCAGTGCAGTACGGTACGAGTACGTACCGTACCGGTGCAGCGTCGTGCGGGCATGGTGGCGCGCGATGTTGGTTGTAACTTTGGACCCTGCGATGCAAGTGATATGCGAGTGATCATATATGAAGATTGTGGGTACCCGGTATTGGTTGTTGTAGTGTAGTATATCATAGCAACCTAACACTCACGAATATCGCGCCTGCTCTATCACTTGTATCGAGGTCTCATATAGCAATACCAGTTATGGTTTGATGGTTTCCATTGATTGATTGTTATTGAGTGTAGGGGGGGGAGCATGTACAGTACAGTACAGTACATTCTCTGCTCCACGGGCTTGTATATACTGTACAGCACTTTGTTTAACCTTTTTGCCCTGCCCCGGTTCTTTCTAGCTTCCTAAAGCCTGATCATCAGTCAATCTAGGTGAGGAAGAGGAGTGTGCGTCATGGTTTTTTTTCCATTTCATTTCATTTATCATACTTTGCTTACTCTGCCTGCTTACTTAGATGCCATATGATATCCAAAGCATCGAACTGTACATTTCCCGTAATTATTATGAGTCAAAAATTACCCCCAGGTTATGTACCTGGAAGGTCGGGATGTGTTGTCTGCTTCCCGGGCTTGCCTGCTTGATTTGCAGGTCATTGCGCAAAGTACCGTATTGTACTGTACTGTGTATCATACTGCGGTGGGTATAGTACGGTAGGCTAACGCTCCACATGATTCTGTGGTAGGGAGATTCGAACCGGGAGTTGTCGGAGTGGGACGGGGAAGGTTTCTGCTTCTTCGGTCCGGGGCGGTAACGTGGTCTCGTAGGGTATATCTGTTTGTGTGTGTGTGGTGGAAATTCCATGTATGTGTGTGTGGTTCGGGGTGTGTTTGTCATGTCTTTGTGTTTATTTTTTTTTTTTTTTGACTTCACTTTTACTTTACGCTGTGGCATATGATTTGAAAGGGTCAGAGTTGTAGAGGTATGATATGGGAATGGAATGGAATGGTTCGTTCTCGCTCCTTCGGCCTTTGTGCGGTTCTTCCTTGGAGTTCCGCAAAGGTGGGCCAAGTGGGGAAGCACGGTGCTGGTTTATCGTGCTGATGGGAATGAGGAGATGGGAAAATAAGACGGTGAGAAACAGCTAATGTGAGGGCCAGCCAACAAGTCGACAAGTCGACCGTTGAGAGGTAAGAGGAGGAGGGGAGAGAAACCATTTTTCTTTTCTTTTTCTTTTATTACGGTGAACAGAAAAAAGGAAGCATAGTAGCGGTGGGTGTGTGGAGGGAGGAAGGAAAGAACGAAGGAAGAGGGAGGTGTGTGCAGAGGAAAAGGAAAAAAAAAAAAAAAAATACCTGCTGGATTAGCCTTGATTCCCCCAAGGCCCCAAGATCGAGAGAGATTCGTTGCTATGTGGGACCCTGAAACTTTGCATGTGTTTTCTAGCAGAAGGTTGCTTGCTTGCTGGTATTATAGTTGCTAGTTGTGGTAGTGCGTATATGTGAATGTTGCTGGGTTGTGGTTGTGGTTGTGGTGTAGATTAAGTTATATCATAGTAGGAAGGAATTATTATTCTTTTTTCTTTTCTTTTTTCGACATCTGCTTGCTTGCACGCCCACGTCAGGGCATATCCAGTCCATGTGATAACTTTGTCGGTATAGTGCCGGTTCCCCGACTGGTGCTTGCAGCTGGTATATCGTGGGAAGGGGTTATTATTTATTTATTTATTTTTGGGCGAAAAGATGGTGAAGAAAATTGTGGCTGTTTTGATGGCATCTTACGGAGTTTCTGCATTGAACAATGGAGAGTGAATGAGTGAGTGAGAATGAGTGAGCATAGACCCCCTCGGTCTGGAATCGCGGGAAAGATTTTATTGGAATGACCGGCCCGGTACCCCACGCCTCCCCCACTCGGTTGGAAGGGAGGGGGGAGGGGTCAAGGAAGAAGGGGAAAAAGAAGAAGGTTTTAGAGGTTCGTGATCGGAGAAGGTGGTTGGTTGGTTGTTGTGGCTTTTGGTAGCGGTTACAGCTTCGTACAGTACATGGATCGAAGTATATGTTTGCGAGGTAGCGGTACTTGTACTGTACTTTGTAACCGGGGTTGGTCGCACGATGTTCTCATGGGGGGGGGTGGAGGCGGGTGGTGCAGCCAGAGTTCGGGAGTATCCGTACTTTGGTAACGGGTTTCCCGCTTGGAGACGAGACGAGAGCGAGCCTATCCCGCGAATCGTGATAAAGATGTTGGCGAAGGAAGTGTGAACAGTGGGATTCTTGTCGGATGTGCGATGTTTCTTTTGGGTGGTCGGTTGGCGGGGAACATGGGCGGCTTGGTGCCGGTTCAGTGCTGTATACAAAGGTCACCTACACCTCGTACGGCCGCCCATCCTTTCCTACGGCACTCTACCGGTGCTCGAGTACGATATTCTGATACACGGCACCGCACACGGTGCCCGTCGGGGTGGGTGATATGATTGGCGATGGGAGGGGGAGGAGGAAGGAAGTACTGCACGGCAAGTTAGTATCATAGAATGGATAAAGTTATTTGGTGGGGAATAGGATCAATCCACACAATCGGTAATCAACGGACCTCTCCCCCCCCTCCCCCTCCCCCTCCCCCTCCTCCTCTCCCTCTCTTGCCTATCACGCCTGACCTGAACACACCCCGCGAAACATCCCCCGCCTCGTTTCTTGGCAATCCGGCATCGCTCTCAGTGCGGTTTGGGGGTCTCTCTTTTTGTAAGCCAACATCTGTATCATACCTGCCATACAAAGTCTAATCACGACAACAGAAAAAACAAAAAAAACAAAAAAAAAGACAAAAAAAGAAACATCCCTTTATCGCCCGATTATTCCATTTATCATTAGGAGGAGGGGAGAACGTTCTCCTGCCCTCTTTCTCCTTAAATGGCGGCCTTCAATATAGAGCAGGCGGTTTCGGAATTAGCGAATCTCGGGATTGAGCGGTCTGATGCTCTGGCTTGTTTGAACGTTCGTTGCGCACTCCTTCCCCAGACCAACGTCATTGTTGCAATCGCTTTGCTATGCCATATCCCTCCCCCCCTCGTCGTCTCGCTAGTCACGGCCAAAAAAAACTTACGGGCTTTTCTCTAGGCATGTAATAACGATCTCGTACGGGCAGCCGATTACTTTTACGGCAGTGGGGATTTGCAGAAGGTGAAACCCCCGCACTGCGGCTCGGTCTCCACCGTTCCACGCTTCTTGGGTTGTACTGACTGACTGACGGCATCTGGAGGGCCTTCTAGGCGAGGGACGACTACAAGTGGGACGCATCTCTGTTTGATGCTGACCGGGATGGGAATCCGAGTACCCAAACCGGCCATAGCTATGATAACAACTTTCAGACTGGTACGGCACAGCTCGACAAAGGGGGACCGAGGCCCTGCTGCCTTTGGAGCTGGAGCGGACGAACTAACTTTGTCGCATTCTAGAGTTCCAGATACAAGCGCCAGATGTTCATGTCGGGAGTGGGTATGAGGGGACAAAGTCCAGGCCACCATCCAGGGTATCAAACAGGGCGGGGGGTTCGGCGGCGGGTTATCAAGGTAGTGAGATTGTCTTTCTTCCTCCTTGGCCGGGACCAGAGGACTCATGGATGGGAACAGCAGATTCTGATCCAGATTTGGCTCGCGCTTTGGCTGCCTCCATGGAGGGCTCTGCCGCCCATACCGTTGATTTTGGGGCACAAGAGACTGGAATAACTGGGACACGCACTTCCCCAGCTACCTCCTATCTCCAGCCGGCAAACCCGGGTCGGGAATACAACCCACAGCTTTGGGCTCTAACCACGACCCATGAAATATTCCTTGACCCGGGCCCATCGGAGCGTAAGCGTAAGCCAGGAGACCCGGCATTTCTTAGGCCGTCGAGCTCTGGCGGCAATGTAGCCGCCCTGTTGACGATTTTGCATGGTATCCCGGCTGCTAGAGAGTCTTTACTTGCTAGGGACTGTCTTGATCGTGACTATGGACATGATGATCAGTGGTGGAATGGTCAACAGATTAGAATCCTAAGAGTCACCAATACTAGTGATGGGGAGACCGGTGAACCGGAGATTACGGAAGGGGTTATAGAGGTTCAGAGGCTAATGGCCTTTTTGGACGGCACATTGAGGGCCTATGGCAGTGTGGAGAGCTTGGCCATGATCCCGGGTTATCATGAGCCTAACCAAGCCCGTGAGTCCGATACATCCTCTGAGTCTTTGAGGGTTTGGCGGCAGCTAATCGATTTTCTAGATGCCCCTTCGGCGTTCTTTCGTTCATGGACAAGTGCAATCGAAAAAGCTACTCCGGAGCCCGCTGAAGGGAAGTACAGTCGTACATTCTTCTCTGAAGCCATCCAGTGCGCCCGGGGCGCAAAAGATGGGGCCTTGATGAATAGTCAGGTGTTCCAGATGATGGACCTTGTTGGTCCTACGGTTGGTGAGACTACCCTTTATGATATGCTGGACTCACTTGTTATTCCAATGGACTATGAGACGGATGTCTTCGTCAAATTCGCCCCCGTCATCTGTGCACAAATTAGGCCCCCTGACAACGGGATGTTTAATGGCTGTCCAATTGCGATCCCAACTGCCTTGTATCCTGACAGGTACACACAGGCTTGGGCGGGACCTATGCGAGAGGTTAGAAGGAGGATTGAGGAACAGAAGAGCATCATAGCGGAAATAGAACTCCAAGAAGATAAACTAAAGAGGGTGCAGGTGAACGAGGGTGCTTATCACGAGCTCCAGAGTGTACCCCAACCCCGAGAGCTCTTGTCGATTCTCGTTGAGCATTACGTGGCTGAGGGGAATCGCGAGGCTCCGACTGGGATTGCGAATGGGGTGGGGTCGGAATCAAGTGCTGTTCTTGCTATGTTGGAGGGCGTCATTCACCAACTTGATGCGAAACTCGAAGGTAAACAGCCATCAGTCAGGCGGGGATGTGGGTTAACCAATTCCATTTTTATAGCGTTAGCAAGGAAGAAGGAAGAAGCCTATCAGACCTTAGTAAACCTAAGGTCATCGCTTACTTCGCCCGAAGATCTCGACCCCTCACTCCCTCCAATGACGAGGTATACGCTACGTGGGGTGTCCCCGGAGAGCTCAACAACTTTCACCCTCCTTCAATCATGTGACTCGGAGGAAGGCCAGGCTTCCGCTGGCTCATCCACTGGCTCGCCGGGGGAGCAGTGGTGGTGCATTAACTGGACACCGAGGGCACCAGCAACCGGATGGGAGACTACCCCTACTCTGAATTACGAGGTTAAAAAGGTGACTGAGGAGAAGGTGATGCATGCCATTAAAACGACCGGGGAGGGCACTGTTCTACTTGTTTATGCGAACGATGAGGCGTTGAATTTGGGCGAAGAGATTGATACCTCCTTGCCGGGTCCTCTTCAGGTATGATCACGAATTGCCAATGATAGTAGACAGGGATCCCTTACTAATTTTTTTGTAGACATTTGTCGACCGTGATAACGCCGCCTTCAAAGCGGAACTACAGCCAAATTCCCCAGGCCGAAAGCGGCATAACGATTGGCTCGACGCAGAAGATGAGGGTGCGAATTCTTCTCCGGGCGCGGGCTTCTCCCCAAAAAGGGTTTCGTCTTCCCGTAGCAGTGCTACTCTGGGAAACGCAACCCCCGAGGTTAGTCGTAGGAACAGTTTGAGCGGAAACGAAATCGAAATGATGGAAGGCATAGGAAGTGGGAATAATCAGCCTACTACTGGAGGAGGAAATACTATCGGACAGGAGATAGACCTCTCTCAGCCCGGAGGTGAGGAAATGCAGGAGAGGGGCGGGATCTCTCCGGTCGCCAAGGCCTTCCATCTCGATTCCAAGGGCCGTGAAAGGGATCTCGATCAGGACATGAAGGATATCGACAGTGAACACATTGGGTTTACCGACTCTCTTGAGAAGAGGGTTTAATCTGCGCTTGGCCGGGGATTAAAGCGCTAAATGGAGTCTTTACTTTTTTACTTTTTTACTTTTACCTCCGGGAGGTCTCTTTGGTTCGGTCTGGGTCTTTTGCTTTCATTCCACTCCAAATCTCCCCTTTTATTTCGAATACCGATCTCCATCTTTTTTTCTGAAAAAAAAAAAAAAAAAGAAACTAAAAACTAAAAACACTCGCGATGGTCTATTGTCTCTTTCCTTCCTTCCTTTGCCCTCTTTTCCCACATCGCCTGTCCCGTTCTTGCTTTTCCTCTCCACCTCCCACGACGGGGGGAAAAACGCCCCCCGAAGTACAGTAAATAGAACATCGCAAGTTGGTGATGCGGCGGCGTTAGTTTAGGTTCAGTTCAGTTCAGTTCAGTTTAGTCTAATTCAGTTTGATTGGGTATGCTTTCTTTCCCTCTCTCTCCCTCTCTCCCTCTTCCCCTTCGCCCTTTTCACTCTTCATTTTTTTCCCCCTGGCTTGTAATACATTTGAATACCTGAAGGCTATGCCTGCATGCTAGTTCTTGTGTGCTTTGTTTTGTTGCGTTGGGTTGTTTTTCGTTTTGATGTGGTCTATGAACTCGCTATTTATTATTTGTGATATGTAGGTAGAGGTGTTTGATAGAGTATAACATACTGTACCGACTAACCAACCCGGCTCTTTGGGTGAGAGTGATCGTTTACAAACGGTGGACGTCACTTACCCTGTGCGATAGATGGCAAATAGCTTCCCAAGTGATTTCCAACTCGAGTGATATCCCATGCAGAATTTACGAACTCAAACTCAAGTGATTAAGGAAGGAAGAAACACTCCAATTCAATTACCCACAATCGAGAGGGCAAAGGCTGGGGGGAGAATAGAAGAGAAGAGAAGAGAAGAGGGAAAAAACATAAAAAACATAGGATACCAGGCATCATACTACAGAGAGATACACACAAAAAAAGCATAACTCAGTTAACGCCCGGTACGAAAAAAATAATACACCTTTCCCCTTTGCATCTCTAGTTCCGCTTCCATACCGCTCCCTACTTCTGAACTGGCCGGCACAAAAAAAAATAAGGGTCGGGAAAGAACCCGGAAGAATATTGAAGGGGATGGAAACCTCGTGAACGCTCTATAAGAATAAAGAAGAAAGAAAGTCGCGGAGGAAGAATAAGGGCGGCAAAACCCCCGCGCTCAATGAAAGAGGAAAAGACCAACAATTTGTTTGGTGATTTTCCGGGTGGGCTGTAAACGGTGAAGTAGTCAAGAGTAGGAATAGGGGTTTAGAGGGATAGAATTGGAACGTGACAGACTCGGAGCATGAAACGAGACGAAATGGGTGATTTTAGCTAGCTAACAAACGAAGCGAAGACACTACGAGTCCGTGCCGGAGAGGCTCTTCCCAAGCCCTGAAGCGGGGAAAGAGGAAGAGGCAGGGGTAGAGGTGGAAGAAGTCTCATTCTCTTTCCCCTCCATAGCGATTCCCAAAAACGCTTTTGAGAGGAGTTTTGGTTGGGACCTGGTGCTCCGTTAGCTGACATTCCAACCTTTCCACAAACAAAAGCGGGGGACGTACTTCTTATAAGCCTTCTGCTTTTGCGCCGCCAACTTTTTAGTGCACGGGGTCATTATGGTGTCTGTTGGGGATGTGAACGATCCGGTGGTTCTGTTGTTTTCAGGGCAATTAGTATCCTCTAGCGAAAAGCGGGAGGGGGGGGGAGAGAGGGTGCGGAGAGTGTGGAGGGTCATTTACTTCTCTGCGAGCTTCTGCGCAAGCAACTGACGCTGAATTTCAAGGTTTGTGTTCGGGGCGGCCTGGTGGAGTTGCTGAACAACGGGAGTGGGAGATTCGGTCATGTTTGGATCGAAGGATTGGTTCAGGCTTATGTCTGTGAGGGGTTGAGCTGACATTTTGAAGGTATTTTCTTTGCCGCTTGAAATTGAGGGTGGAGCGTAGTCTTGCAGTGAGTGTGAAGTGAGGTGGTAGTGGTAGTGGTAGTTGACGGGGAAAGTTTTGGGTGGGATGGAAGGGGAATTTGTACTCGTAGGTTTGTTTGTTCGCTGGTTGCTGGGGTTACGGATTCTGGTGGCTTGGCGTAAATAGTGGAAGGAAGAAGGTGGTGTGATAGGCCGGGTTGTCGGCCAGCAACTTCCATGGAAGGGAATGCGGGTAAACAAGCGTGGCTTTGCATGGGGGGTGGGGAGGGATTGTGGGCTTCTATGGTCTGGGGGGGGGGGTTGATGGGTCCCAAGGGGGTTTGGAGAGTTGGGGCGTTGGGGATTTGTGGGATCATGGTGACACGGGGTTCGCCATCAAATACAATAAAGGTGTGGCGCACGGTAAGGAGCATTATGCGCAATTGCAGACTGGCTATCTCTGGGTTCTATAAGGCTATCATACCGGTACGGTACCCGCTGCCTTCGTTTGCCGTGTGATAGATAACGCTTTCGATCCTGCTCACATGCACAGAACAGGGCAGACCTTATCTCGAAATCCGGAGAAGACACTGCACAACTCGGCATTTAACCCACCACCACCATTACCGCCACCGTCGCCGATACTATCTGTATCATGTTGTCAGAACTCAACCCCGACACTTCCAGCGCTGCCTTCGGGGAGACAACCTTGGGCTGATCCTTCGGGAGATTTCCAGATCCGGAGAGGCGTTGTGTTCAAGCCTGGCACTAGTGGAAGGTTGTAAGGTTCTCCCGGAGGAGCGGTTGTTTGTTTTGATTTGTGTGCCCTTTGTCTGGTGCTACAGCCCGTGATATGGGTGCCGTAAAAGCGGCATTTTACTTGGGAAGTCTGTACGAGTACAGGCGATTTGATATCTGTTGGGTTGTTGTCATCTGGGGATGCCGTAGTTGAAAGTTAAACTGTTTCCCTCTGGAATGGTAGGAATTGACTACTCTTGGGATTCTGCACCCAGGATTAGCCTTGAAGGTAATAGCTCTGGCGCTCGCACTTATTGCTCCCCTCCAAGAGCCTTTCTCACGGAGGAGCATGGCTCTGGGATCTCCATCAATTCCGAGATGCATGCCCAAACTAAAGTAGGACAAACTCCACCAACGCTCCTGCATAAATGACAGATCACTACTCGTACTGGCACGGTACAGGAGCAAGGGGCCCCCCTCCCTCCCCCCTCCCTTATGATATGCCCCTGGTTATTAGGTTTACTGACAGGCTCCCGAGATTCAGTAGCGATTAGCCCTGTCGTCTCCCGGGAAATGACGTCAAACCGGTGAACAGCCAAATATCGTGGGCCCAGATACCGGTAAGCCCCGAGTGATACTGTAAGGGCGGGAGGCCCTACCCGTATTATGATAATATGATAGATAATATTTGGAAGTGAAACAAACGGGCGAGGGGTTAAACCTACCACATTCCATATCGTATAACTAGCCACGGCAAAGGACGCCTCCGGAGGCAGGAGCGGAGGAGTTTCAATATCGATATTTCCTTAGGAAGCCTTTCCCACCTATTTTCTCAGTTCGAGAGCCAAGGGCTGGGAGCGGCGCTTGAGCTGGGGATTGATTGTTTCGGGGCATACATGCGAAAACGCATTCCGGAGCGTTGCAGTATGTGCGCAGCACTGTACATTACTGTATGTAGTACACGCATAGGCTTTTTTATCCCTTGATTCAACTCCTTCCTTTACCGGTTCTTCACTCGTCTACTTTCATCAAGATTGCGCTGGATTATAAATTTATATATCCGTCTGAAGGGGTTTCAACTACCGTACCGCACGCTAGCATCGAATGGCTACCTTCAAAGACTGTATCCACCGCTGGTCACGCGCCGGTAGATAGAACGTCTGGTCCAGGGGTCCACCGGCGGCCACTGCTACTGCTGCCGCCGCAGCTGATCCGCACTCAACAGGGGATTTTTCTCCCGTGTCAATACCACACGTCCAGGGAGCTTCCACGCCAGGTATACCCGCCACTTCACCAGCCAACCGGGGGGAGCCCCCCCTCCCCCCTGAAGAGATATGCTCATACTTTCAACAAGATCCTATTCAGCTCCTGGGTCGATATTTTGCTGGTGTTCGTACCCGTGGAGATTGCGTGCGATTCCGCCAAAACCAACCCTACAATCGTGTTTGTTATGAATGCTATTGCGATCGTTCCACTGGGGCTATTGAGCTATGCAACCGGGAGCGTGGCTCATTGTCTGGGCGATACGCTGGGGGCCCTTCGGAATGTTAGTTCCGGGAATACCGTTGAGTTGATTATTTTGTGGGTATCGTTTTATTTGAGCAATGAAAGTGGGCTAGGTGGGGATTGGCCGGCTGCCAACAATTGCGGTAGTTTGTAAGTTAGTTCATATACCGTCACTCAGGGGGTTGGTAGTAGTGCTTGAAGTATAAGAGAGAGTTTAGGGAGTAGAGAGGGGAATTGTTAACCGTTTTCTTGACTTGATTAACTCCCTTCCTATCACCAAAGTGGATGACCGTTATATACCATAGAAAACCCAAGCGACCAGATACCATCTGGTAGCTACATTCCTTCCAATCCATACCATACCATCCCTCATTCCAATCTAACCCATGACCAGATGTCCATCTGGTGGCTACATTCTTTCCAATCCATACCATTCCCCGTATCTCCTCACATACGTCTGAACTGCTTCTTGCATGTGGTTATCAGGAAGTCCCTAACAACCCCAGCGATATCGCAACAGTGCCAATTGTGGTAGAATTACCCTCGTCAAAAATGAGATTAGTATCGTCCAGGCTTCGCTTATCAGATCGATATTGGCGAATTTACTTTGAGTCTTGGAATGTGTTTTCCCATTGGGGGACTGGAGTATCGGGAGCAGGTTTATAACAGCATCGCTACCCAGATGTCGGCGTGCTTTCTCCGTCTTGCCGTTCTGAGTTTACTCTTACCAGTGAGTTCGTTTCAATTTCCATCACATGCAGGGCCCCTACCGCTGCGCCGTAGGGTGCCTTCTGTGCTTCGTTCAGCAATGCCGGGAGGGCAGACAGTGCTGTAATAGGAGTGAGCAGAGGGACATTTGTTGTTCTCCTGCTTGTCTATATCTTATACCTACTCTTTTCAACCAAAACCTCACGTATATATGTACCAGGCAACTACACAGCATGTAATTGATGAAGATCAATTGGGGAACTATGATACGTTATCTGGCTCTCTGGCCGGTTCAACAAATTCAATGCGCAGTTCAAGGCCCACCTTTAGGGTCGCTAGAAAGGCTAGAGCTAAGCTTGGAATAATGGGACATGTAAAGGTTTGGGGAGGGGGGGGGGTGAATCATCTGAGAAGCCGTAGGGTAGGGCGAAGCGTGGAAAAAAAGGAGGACAAGGACAAGGACACTTCGTCACCGGTATGATATTATATCATAGCTGCCCGGACCGCGCCTGGTGCCGTTGTGAATCCCACGCCGCCGGCTTTAGTGGCCACCGCACGACTCCAAACGCCCGCCCAATCTCCCTCCGCCCACCTGTATTCCGTGCACAGGCCCCCGGCGAGCGTCTAAGCCTCCCCCGTCCACAGCCCGACAGGTCAGCATCCTACATCGTCCGTTAAACCACCGCCTTGACAAATCACCGCGAGGAATACAGTAAAACGGACCCTCGCAATTGGTCCGGCAGCGGCGGGGTTATCGATTCAGATTCAGATTACCCTGTTTATCACCCCCACCCCCTCCCCATCGAAGTGATTATCGGGCAGACTCTAGATGTGCCCATGTCATTATTACAGTACTTGACCTTTTTTATTTTTATTTTGAAACGGTGACGTTGTTCACCCCAGCGTTCATCGTGAACTTTCCAGAATCGGATGGGAGGGAGAAATTACTTGGAGGGGGGTTGTTATGGGGGAAACCGCAAAGTTGATATTTTGGGTTATGAGTAAGGCCGATGTTTCCGCTTCCATGATACATTTTGGATTCGTGGGTTGTATAATACGCAGGCTGCTCCGATCGGGACAGTTTCCTCGAGTGATGGTTTGTGCTGTAGTGAGAATTGTCTCGGGATGTCTGGATTTTTCCCTTCTAAGTAAGGCGTTGTTTTGTTGTCCCCCCCCTCAAAAGAGGGAATTCGGACGTCCTGAGACAATCTCCTCTCTTGTTCAAGTTAATACGGTACTTTGTCGCGGTTGATCGGATGTGATACTGTGACGGATGGGGATTTGTTCGATCGAAGGGTATTCGAGGGAGAAGCATTTATCTCGTCCGTTTTGTTTGTGGGAATGCAAAGCATGATGAACAGTGCTAAGAGGACCTTACCGTACGTGCTATCCCGAGCAATTCATGTCCGGGATATCATTTCCCGACGACTAGAAGTGAATACCAATATTATACATATACAATAATTTAGGGAAAGGGGATAAAAAATAGAAAAAAATAAAAATGCTATGATACTGCTACAGATTCGCCCTAACCCGGATCCCAAACTCCTGCATGAGCTCCTGCGTCTTTTTGGTCTGCATGGCAATCTTATCCTCACTGCGCTCAAAACAATTTAGCACTGCAAAATGTTGAACAAGACGGAGAGAGGGGGGGGGACTCACATCTCCTTGCTCCTCCTATTCTCCGTCCTCCCGAGCTGATTCAAGTGCACCTCGTCCGGCCCATCCGCGATCCTCAGGGTCCTCTGGTGTGCCCACATCCTCGCGAGCGGGAAGTCCTGACTAACCCCGGCAGCGCCGTGAGCCTGCACCGCACGATCGATGACGGCAAGGCTCATACTCGGCACGTAGACCTTGGCCTGAGCGATGAGGCTCATGGCACCCTTCGCGTCCGAGTTATCGATCTTGTCAGCGGCATTCAGCACCAACAACCTGCCAGCGTCGATCTCGAGGCGGGACTTGGCGATCCATTCTAGGATGGAGCCGTGCTCGGAAAGGAGCTTGCCAAAGGTTTTACGGTCCGGGTCGTTGACGCGGGCAATCATGTACTCCAGCGCGCGCTCCGCCGCGCCGACAGATCTCATGCAGTGGTGTATCCTTCCCGGTCCCAATCGGCCCTGGATTATCTCGAAGCCGCGACCGGGGCCGAAGACCATATTCTCCAGCGGGACGTGCACATTGGTGAAGGTGATCTCGCAGTGTCCGTGCGGGGCGTCGTCGTACCCGTACACCGATAGCGCGCGGCGAACCTGCACGCCTGGTGTGCCGGCCGGGACTATGACTACGGATTGCTGCTTGTACGGGTTTGGGTTTGAGGCGTCGGATTTCCCCATTACTAAATAGAGCTTGCATCGCGGATCGCCGGCGCCGCTGCTCCACCATTTCGTCCCGTTCAAGACATACTCATTGCCCTGTCTCGTGATTTCCAGGTTGATGTTCTTCGCATCGGCCGAGGCGCGGTGGCGTTCTGTCATCACAAAGGCGCTGCGGATATTGCCCTCCAGTAGTGGTGTGAGCCATTGGGCCTTTTGTGCCGGTGAGCCGTATTTGGCTAGGACTTCCATGTTGCCCGTGTCTGGTGCCGAGCAGTTCATTGCTTCCGAGGCTATGAGACTTCGTCCCATGATTTCGGCCATCAGGCCATATTCTAGGTTTGTGAGCGGGACGCCCTCTGGGTAGTGTTTCTGCGAGAGGAAGAGGTTCCAGAGCCCCTGTGCCCTGGCTCGCGCCTTTAGCGTGTCGATTATGGCTGGGTAGGTGTTTAGAAAGCGCTTCGCTGGGTCAGTGGGTTGCTGAGCGTCGAAGACGGCGTCTGCCGGGATGCATTCTGTCTCAACGAAGCGGTGGACTTTCTGAAGGAGGGCATGGGCGGATGGTGAGACTTTGGAGGCCACGAGGGAGGGGATTTGGTAGGTTGTCATTTTTGTGATTCCCTGTGAGTCCAACTGACTGTGGGGTTTCAACCTGGAGAAGGGAACAGTGGGAGGGTAGGGGAAAGGAAGGAAGGAAGACTGGGGAGGAGGGAGAAGGAGAGGGGAGGAGATTCCGGGGTTCTCTACGGCGGAGCTTACCGTAGTTCAGCGGCAGCCGGGGTTGAACCGAGGCGCCACGGTTGTTAGTCTACTGCGATCTTTTGCTAAGCGGATTTCGGTAGTGGCTTCGGCTGCTCGAGTACTCGAGTATAGTACCGTATTGTACTGTACTAGCATTGTGCTTTGCGGTGGAAGGCTAGAAGAAAAATTCAAAATGGGAGGGAGCTGACTTTGGAGACTGGCCGGTCACTTTCATGGGTATTAAGCGACAGACAAAATTTTCGAGCCTTCCTGTTTGATGCCCAGGTCATGGAGACTTGACCAGAAGTTAGGAACCATGTAATAACAATAGTTAAATCGTGGGACAAATTTGATATCGAGTAACCCCCCAAAGGATCCAATCCTGCAACAGACATAACTACCGAATGCCCTATTTACAAAAAAAAAAAAAGAAGGGAAGTAAGGAAAGGGAGGAGAAAAGAACCCCCAACATCACCCCACTAATTATAATCACTCACTTTATATTTTTCCTCCCCTTGAAATGCTTCTTCCCACCCATCGCCTTCCTCACCTCATCAGGACTAAGATTATTATCCAAAGCGATCATAGTCCTTGCCTTCCTCCCACTCAGATTTTTCCCACCGGGTAGAGCCCCAGCAGCACCAGCACCCAGATGAAACGGCGTCCTCACATGGCCCAGACTTCCCCGTCCCTCAGCAAAGAATTTCCTGTCAAGATCGTGCGACTTCTCCCCCGTCTCGATAATCGGTAGGTCCTCGGATGCGAGGTCGTCATCGTGGTCTTGACCCAGGGAGGCCCCGGCTCTCCTGCTCTGCGGAAGATGCGCTTCGTCGTAGAGGTCTTTGTTGAAATTGAATGGGTCGATGGGGGAGTCTGCGGGAGGTGGATGGCAGAAGAGGAGTTTGCCATTCACGTAGTCTTTCAGAACGTATCTTGCGGCCCGGGACTCGTCTGGGTTTCCAGCTCCGGTTTTGTAGAAGCCTCTGGCCCTGGCGTACGCTATTAGGAGTTCCTCCCCGGTTGGAATACCGGTGCCGCCTTCTTCGAATGGACGGGTATGTATCTTGATACCGTAGAGGGATTCAAGAAATTGTTGGGGAACCCTTTGCGTTACAAGTGTTGTTGGGCCACTGAACTCGCGGAGTTGGTCGATTGGTAGGACACCATTGCATACGAGCTCTGCTTTCGTGGTGGCAAAGTTGGGGAAGACGAGACCGGGGCAATCGCAGAGGACTATCTTCTCGCTAAGGTGGAGGGTTTGGAAGTGTTTTGTTTTTCCGGGGGTCGAGGAGACAGACACCTTCTTCGCGCCGATAAGGGCATTGATAGTAGAGGACTTTCCAACGTTCGGGTATCCGACAAGACCGATTTGGGTCTTTCGAGGCTTCTCCGGGTCTTCGTCTGCGAGGAAATTAGAACGATATACAGCTCTAGAGCAGAAATAAACATACCCTTGGCGATAGGCGCATGCTCCAAGAATACCTCCTCGAGCTCGTCGACGGTAAGAATTCTAATTTTTGGCCCCTCCTTCCCTTCCACCACCACCTCCTCTTTGATAGGTTCCTCTTCCCCATCCACGCTATAATACTCCTCATTGACCTGCTTCGCCAAAGCCGCCGAAAAGAACCGATAACTGATCCCCTCCTTCTCAAAGTAATCCGCCCACGCGCTCCTCTGCTCAGCAGTCATCATGTCCGCCTTATTCACAAGCAGCAGATTGTTCTTTCTCTCGTCAACCTCCTTGACATATCTCTCTAAATCCTCGCTACGGAACATGAGCGGGTTCCTAGCGTCGACAATCTGAACGACAAGGTCACTCCTCTCAATGACTCGCCACAGCTGCCTCCAAACCTCAAGGTTTCGCTCGAAAGGGGTCATGAGTAGGTCCTTTGCCTCCTGTAGCTCCGCAAGGCCCCGGCGCCAGCGCAGGAAGGAGTCCTTCTCACGGCGTTCCAATTCAGCGGGTGTAGTCGTCGAGTCCCAATGTGGTCGGCGGGGAACAGTTAGTTGCTGCTTGTTTTTTCGGTGCTTGGTTCTGGCGGTCTCTTCTTCGTCGGCCGTTAGCAGGTAGGGGTTTATCTGGTCTTTGTGGATGATCTTCATGTTGCTCATTTTTTCTACCATATAATCAACATCGTAGCAGTAAAGCCTCAAAAACATTAACGACGACATACCAGCTGTGAAATCCGTATCCGCCAATTCAGCAGTATTCAAGAACTCTATCGCATAAATCAGCATTCATTCTTCTTTCCCCCTCCCTTCCTCCCTCCACCGTGGACAGGAAAAACGAGATGGAACAAAGCAAACCATCAAGATCATTCTGCTGCGTGACGCTCCGCATCCTGTACCAATCCGCCTCATGCTTCTCCGTAGTATATAGCTACGAAACCCATTAGCTACTCTCCGTCCCCGTATCCCACCATTCTTGCAGTATCGCCCTCACCATCTCAGACTGCCCCGGACCCGCCCCCCTCCCCCCTCTCCCAGCTCCATTTCCCCGATGCTTGTTGTTCGTCTTATGTGAGCTTCCGCTCCTGGAGTTCATGAGCGCACGGCCGAGGCCGACTCTGTTCTTACTCTCTGCAAGAACCATTGTGTTTGTATCTTAGTTTTGCGTGGAATCCCGTTTGATTGATTGGCTGTATTTTTCTTTTGTAATTTTTCTTTTGCGTTCGGGTGGAGGGGTAACTTCAATGATAAGTTAGCACGAGTCCTGTGCTATGCTGTTGTGGCGGGTTTTATCTATTAGTCTAATCGCCGTCACTTAGCAATTTGGTGCTACGATAGCCTTTTGTCAGCGACCTCTTCTCCGAGACCACTGACACACAGGAGGGGATCAATAATCGCGCATTCCAACTTCTACCTACTTCTTTCCCAAAGCATCATACGGTATTTCACAGAAAGGGCGATAGCAATTATAAGTCCTCCCTCCAAACCGCCATAATGCCAACCAAGAAGTGGATGTAAGTCCTGAAAAAAAAAAAACACTACCCCTCCCCCGCACTCCCGCCACTGCCACCACATCTTAACTAACCATACTAGCGACAAAAAAAACGCAACAAACTACCAACTTCGCCACCGTGCACAAACGGATCCCTTAATTCACGACGACCAAGCAAGCGATCTGGTCTTCACCCAAGTCACTGCACCCAATGCCTCCAGATCCACCCCCTCCGCCACCTCACCGTCAAAAATCAAAACAACCACGGACCTAGCCCAAGAACTCTCCCTCCCGCCCACCAGCCTTCGCAAAAATGAAGGCGAGGCCGCAATGCACGGAGTGTACTATGATGACACGGAATACGACTACATGCAGCACATGCGAGACATCAACGACGAACAAGTGTACTTTATAGGCGTACGGGAGAAGTCCTCCCAAGGACAAAACAAGAAAAAGAACAAGATGAAGTTGGAGGACGCATTGCGCCTCCCTCAGGAAATGCTCCCCTCGGAAGTGGAAGTTAAAAGGAGCTATCAGGATATGCAAGACGTGCCCGACGCACTCAGTGGGTTTCAACCAGACATGGACCCACGCTTGCGCGAAGTTTTGGAGGCGCTAGAGGACGAGGCGTACGTTGAAGATGACGAGGATGTATTCGGGGAGTTGGCCAAGGGCGATGAAATCTCACCGGGAGAATTCGCAGAAGAGGGGGAGGAAGATGGGTGGGAAAGCGACGTTACTGAAAAACCGCCCAACAACACAACACCCGCAGGACAGGAAGGAAAAGAGCGAGAGGAGGAAGACTGGCACCGTGCCTTTAAAACCTTCAAAAACGACCAAAAAAAGAAGAAGGGTGGGAAAGTCACATTCGACAATGACTCCCTCGCTGACACCATGAGCTTCGGCGGCACCTCAGCCACCTCCTCCTTCGGCGGAACAATGAGCGTATCGAGCCGCAGCCGCCGGAGAAGGAAGAAAGCTGGCACTGAGAGCTCGGGTTACTCAATGAGCAGTTCTGCGCTATATAGAACAGAGGGGTTAACACTTTTGGATGATCGGTTCGATAAAGTATTCCCCCATCCTTCCCATGACATGAATGCGGAGACGTGAGACTAATAGTGAAGGTGGATAGATCGAAGAAGAATACGCGGAGGAAGAAGAGGGAGGTGACTTGGGGTCAAATTCTGGCGTCGCCCTGCCAGAGACTAGACGGGATCTGGATTCGGTGCTGGATGAATTCTTGGAGGGATACTCTGTTGGGAAGAAAGGTCGGGTTCGGCGCGGGAAATATGGGCCCGGAATGGAGCAGTTGGACGAGGTTAGGAGGGGACTGGGGGCTGCGAGGATAGCCTCTTGATTGATCGCATAGCATTGGCCATGACCATGATAGACTAGCCACGGCCGCCTCGAAATGGGTGTCGAGTGATGGGGCTGTGATTCTCAATCTCAATATTTGTAATGTTAACATGAATTGTGGGCGCAAGCAGGGCATGATACTTAGATCTGGTGTCCGGGGCGGTTAGGCGGGGACTATATAGAAGCTATTTATATGTTTTTTTTCACCTTCCGTATTATATTACCCCCCTTGATCAACCAATCCGCTCTACCCAAGCTCCTCCTTTTTAAACTGCGAGAGCTGGTACTAAAAAATCGCCCGAAAAGGGGGAGAGAAGAAGAGAGAGGGAGAGAGTCCACGAAACACGATTCTACCGTTTCCTTACAAACAGGTAATCCGCAAACCCAAAACGAAAACCACGATCAACCTCCCAAAGAACCCATATATAAGCTACCAGAAGGCAAAGCTCCCAACGAACAATTCAATCATGCCGAATCCCATCTCCACTCCGACAGCAAATTACGCCCTCCAAACCCTCTTAATGGCTACACCATCATCCCCGCACTTAGCGTCAGCCAACCCCAACCAAACCGGACCAGTCTGAAAGGAAACAAGACGGAAGGAGCACAAACCCTCAGTAATCCCCACATCATTTGTCTCAAATTCGTATAGCCCCACAAGCACCAACACCGTGGCGCCCTTAAGTGCCCACAAGGCGCCCTTTCTGAGAGTGGGGTACCTGCGATGGGGGATGTAATCGATAACCATGGATTCAAAGCCGATGTGGGAGTGGATTACGATCGTAGCGCCGAGTATAGCGTCCGTTACCGGGTTTATGGAACCAGCAGCGAAGGGGGCTACAGTTAGGGGGACGAGGGCGACAGAGATGAGCTTTGGAAGAGTGTTAGCTAGCATTGAGGAGAAGGCGTGTGTGTGTGAGGGGAATACCCGTTCGAAAGACCAATGGTAGGAACCATGTGTAGCGTTGGGATCAGGGACTTCGGCGGCATCATTCACTTGCTAATTATCAGCGCCAACATCAAATCCAAAGACCAGAGCACTGAAGCAATAATACCCGTTCCCTGAATAACCTCTAAAAAAAACCCCCACCATCCCATTAGCATCCACCCATCACCCAACAACAACATTCATTCATTGCAATCACTGGACACAAAGAAAAACTCACGGGGCCCAGCCGGTAAAATCTTCCTCGAAGCACTGACGTGAAACCCCTTCTTTGCCATTCCGGCCCGCGCCAAAACTCCCAAGTTCTTCATCCTGGTGCACTTAACGGCAATGGCGGCGGCGGAAGTGGTAGTAACCGGCCGACTTAACTTGGGCACGACGGCCATGGCGGTGGAGGTACGCAGTGACGATCTGAAAAGTGATGCCATGGTTATCCAGTTCGTCGCGGTGGGGGGGAAGTCGGGATTGGGTTGGAAGAGTGGGCTGGCTCGTGATTTGGGAGAGTTCGGGTCTTGTGGATTCTGCCGTGTGGCTGGAGACCTCGGGAGTCGAGGGCAGCCAATTGTGTGGGGGGATTAGTAAGTTAAATTGGTTTTTTTGTTTTTCCGAAGCGTAGCAAGCCACGGTGGCTACCCCGGGCATGGGACCGGAAGAGTCTTTAGATTCCTAGGTTCACATTGTGGATAAGGCGGAGTGAGGGTCGTTTTCTATTTTTCTAGAGTTTTTTTTTCAATTCGAGGTTCATGTGCGGTAGTATGATAGTATCGTATCATAGTGCAAGCCCGAATATGCCTAATTCCCAGTTTTCCACTTCAAGCACAAGTAAAACAGTCCACCACGGCAGGGCCACCACAACCCCCGGGGAAGGCATTCAGCCACAAAATAAACCAAAACTTCGATACATTTCCTAAGGTATTATCACACTATCATACAAGCACAGCGCACCCACCTCTATCAAAAGCCCATCGAGCAAGTACCATAAGCATCATAGATCTACTCAACAACCCACTTTCCCTCCTCCTTCCTCTGTACAACCTTCCTTGCCGGCAACCCCCACCCAACCTCGCTCCTACCAATCGCCCCCCCAATTCTAGGAATAACCCAACACTCCCTCCTCTTCCCCATCGAGTCCTCCAGCACCTTCGGAGGAACATGCTCCAGCGGCTTGGAGTAAGTGATCAGTGGCGTCCCCTTCGCGAGCGACGCCAAGTGTACTCCTGTGACGGGCGTCAAAGGCTTCATCCGGACCTTACCGGTCGGCGAAGCGGATTTCTTCAGCTCGCTATACACCAGGTACTCCGGGTATGAGGACTGCGATGCCAAGACCGAACTCGGGTGGACGTACACTGCTGGGTCCAGCGGCGCGCCTTCATCCGTGGACTGCTGGAATGTAGACGATGCGAAGAGCGTCATATAGGGTACTTCTGTCACTCTTTTCGCGCTGTTATAGCTGAGTTTGTATGGGGAGTTGGGGAGGAGGTCTGCACGAATGGCGACCTGGTCTATGAAGCCGGCTGCGATGATTTGCTTCAGAGCGTTGACCTGCACTGTGGATGGTGGGGGTAATTTTGGGTTGAAGGAGTTGAGCACGCCCGGGCAATTTGTTTTGACGATTTTGGAGATCTGCTGGCGGAGTTTGTGTGTTTCCTGCATGGCTCTCAGCCGAAGGAAGTTGCGCTCGCAGAAGCTTGTAGAGTCCTTCTCGTACTCATACGCACAGACTACAGATAGGAGTTTCAGGACATCGCTGGTGAGGTCTAGAGTTGAGAAGGTCCGGTGAGCACGGTAGTATTCCTTCCGCCGTTTAGTTTGCTGTGCATCTTCAAACGCTGTTTCAGAATTTCTCGGTGCATCCTCGTCGCCTGCCTCCCCATGCATGCCCAGTTGGTGCTCTGGTATGAAAATATCCCCCACTGATAAGGCTGCCACGATCGCAATGATGTATGGTAGGCACTCATGTTGCTGGCCGATGATGAGGATCTTCGAGAAACGTGGTGACAACGGAAAGAAATTCATAACTCTTCCCAATTCCGTCAGGGCGCCTTTCGGATCAAGTGCTCCGAGGTATTCGAGAAGCTGTTGACGAGTTAGTCCCAATGTCAGGACAACACGTGTCAATGACGATTACAAGACTCACCCTTTCGGACTTTTGTAAACTTGGCCGATCCGGCGCAGTCGGGAATGGGAAATTCGCAATTGTATCGATATTCATGCTCTTCATTTGCAAGACAAGTCCTTGGACCAGTTAGTAAAACACGATAATCATAACCTATCACTCGAACGAACCTTCAATTGGCATCCGCAGGATCTCGGGCTCGGAAAACTCAGGGAAATCCCGTTCGTAGACTGCGGAGGAGTAAAGCCTGTAGCAGTGACCCGGACCCGTTCTCCCAGAACGACCAGCTCTCTGTGCAGCACTCGCCTTGCTGACCCAACCGATATCGAAACTCTGAACTCCAGTGGTCTTGTCGTAGTTGCGTTCTTTCGAACGTCCGCAATCAACAACGTATCGAATTCCAGGGATTGTCAAGGAGGTTTCCGCAACATTGGTCGCCAAAACACACATTCTTGATCCCTCCGGTACTTCCCCGAATACTTTCAATTGCTCCTTAGTCGGGAGAAGTGAGTATAAAGGAAGAACGTGAAGCGGTGATTCAACGTCTTCGGCAGACATCTCTTCTCCGAGGTCATCATCATCACCTATATTAGAGGCCTCTTCCTCGCTACCGTATGAATCGGGCCTCGAGAAATCACCAAGCTCCATATCTTCAGTTTCAACAACCGCCTCACTGGCTGATATCTGCGCCGATGGTGGGACAGGTGCAGAACCTGGGCCCTTCCTTTCACCCTTAAACGGAAATGCTTTCCTCAGCCGCTTAAGTAAGTGAGTGATCTCATTCTGGCCAGTCAAGAAAACAAGAATTCCTATCACCGCATATCAGCATCACTCTGAATACCCACGCAAGGAAAGGACTCACCGCCAGGAGGAAGGCGCCGATGGATCTTGCAAACCTTTTTGTAAATTTCGTCTGGATACTCGCTAGCAGTGCGTCTGGAGAAGTGAATAGACACTGGATGCTGCCTAGCCTCCACCTTAAGCAATGGCGGCGCTGCAGGGAAAAGTTGTTGATTCTCTGTGAAATCCGATGCCCGCAGAGTAGCAGACATAATGATCAACTTCAAGGGCTAAAATAACAGTCAGTCACAACCCATTTTAGTTCGCCACAAACTTAAAAAAAAAACACCTTCGTCTCATCTTTCTCCGCCAACTCCCTCCTAAGCTTGAGCACGCGACTCATAACCCCAATCAAAATATCCGTATTGATACTCCTCTCATGCGCCTCGTCAATTATAACAGCAGAGTACTTCCTAAGTAAAAAGTCCTCGGAAAGCTCCCGGAGCAAGACCCCGTCCGTCATAAACTTAATTGCGGTGTTTGGCCCCGCAGTTCCCTCAAATCGGATCTGGTACGAGACTTTCTTCTTCCCTCCATCGCCTAATTCCTCGCCAACTCTACTCGCCATACTCACGGCTGCGACTCGGCGCGGCTGTGTCACACCGATTAAGCCAGGCATCGACGTATTCGGCGAGCCATAGCCAGCTTCGTAGAGGAATTGCGGAACCTGCGTAGTTTTTCCACTACCGGTCTCACCGCATATGACTACACAATCGTTCGCATTTATTGCTTCCATTATGCGCTGTTCTTCAGCTACGACTGGGAGGGCAAGACGGGCAGACTGTATCTCTATGGGGCGCCCAACAGTTACAAAGGACGCCTGGGTTTATTTTAGCTCAATGACCTTAGAGGTGATTTCAGATTATTATAGGCATACCTTTTTGACATCCTGTGACGGGGGGGGTATGGGAGCGGGGGCCGTTTTGGTAACCGCGACGACTTTGGGTTTGAGTTCTAGAAGATTTGGCACTGAGTGTTCGGGCTCGCCGTCGTTAAAGATTTGCTTTCGTTGAGCAAGAGCCCAGGCTTTGAAGGCATTTGCTTTCTCAGACTGGCCCCGTCGGAGATGGCTAACTAGTCCATTGTCTTCACAATCACCGCCTTCTTCCTCTTCGCTGTCTTCCTCTGAATCATCATCCTCGCCGTCCGAGGCTTCTCCTTTGTCCCTTTCCCCAGACTCATCGGGCCCGCCCCCCTCCACGGGATCACCACCTATGGCTCGGGCATCAGGTGCGACGTCAATATCATCAGCAATGCCCCCCCACTCCTCCTCTTCATCTTCACTCTCCACACTCCCACCACTCGAACTATCCTCATCCTCAGACCCACTCCCACTAATTTCCCCTTCCATAACCTTAATCGCCTCCATCAACCGTTCCTGCCGTGTCTGGGCAGACTTCTTAACCCTTTTGATAATCGGGAAGCCATTTTCATCCGTCTCCAATGGCCTCTTGAGCCCAGAGCCAATCGCAATCACCGGCACCACGGGAAGTCTCTCCGCGGCTCTCTCTTGAACCTTAGCCTCCGCTCCCGCCTTCACGGCCTCCTCCAAATCCACCGCCGGGGGTATAACCACCTCAAGCTCTGCGGGATCCCTAACAACCCTCTCCTCGAGCACCACTCCCCGGCTCTCCTCCCCTGCAATCCCAGCCTTAACCTCCCTAAAAGCCCTTCGCACTCTCTCCTTCTTAGTCTCCCGCCCCCTTCCAAGCTCCCTCGTGCTCCTCAGCAGCCCTATGTCCATCGAGGACGCACCCGCAGCTAGTTTTGCTATTATCTCCGCCTTTTCTTCCTTCCTGAGCTTATTCTCCTGTAACCCCCAATCAGCCACGCGCCCGTAATAGATAGGATTGTAGGAAAGGGGAGCAGTACAATATACTTATTAAACCTCTTCAATTTCTTCCCGGACATGCCGGGGGTCCCGGCCCTCGCCTCGGCGAGTAAGTCCGCCTTGCGCTTCTCAGCCTTCTGCGCTTTTGTCGGGGGGATTATGATCTCCGCGTTGGGGTCCGACGGTGTCGCAGTCGGTGGTGGTGGTGGTGCAGCTTCCCTGGTATCGTCCCCGCCATCACGATGGAGCTTTGGCGCACGCCGTTGTTTGCGATCGCGGGTCGGTTTGTATTTTGATGGCATTGCGAGGTGGCTGTCTCCTCCTAGGAGTAATTGGGTGATTTATTCGTGGCCGTCGGTGGGGGGGGGGGGTTCTGATATCAATATTATTAACACTGATTTCCCCAATTGAATTTTTTTTTTGCTTTTACAGAATACCGGTTACGATATGATAGTAAATTTATCATACTTTTATGTATGACACCCCTGCACTTCCCCGAGATAGACTCGCCAAGGCGCTAATACATTAGGGCCGATTCTGAGGCTCAATTGGAATTTCTTGTGGGTTAGGGCCTGGGGCTTAGTCTGTCTCCCACCATACCATACCGCACCTACGAGTACCAGTATCATGGCTAGAAACTGTGATTTGGGCACATGTGTTTTGGCCGACATCATTAAACTCGAGTACGGTAAAAGATCCAGAATTCCATGCATTTTTTCAGTACGGTACAGTAGGCAAGGAACAGCAAAGGCACCCCCGACTTCGATAAAGAAATTACTGTAAGTTAGGTATTGTAAACTAATCTGCCACAGTACCGTAGGTGTTCCTGCGATCCCCCTCCCCCTTCCACGCACTTCCTTTCCTTCCCCCCGAATCTTGAGCTCTCCTAGTGATAGACGCCTTTATCTATACATTCGCCAGCTTACAAAGAAAAGAAAGAAAAAAAGAAACCCTGTAGCGATAACTTGTATCATAACTCACCCCCTTTTTTTTCTCTCCCACTTTCCTATACTATACGCGCCTCGTCCATAATCCACCATATTGCATATACGTTACACCCCTTAATTTATACCCGCCAACACTTGTAATCAAAAACACCACCCACTCACCCACCCACTGGAGCTCGAAGATCAAATGGAATGCGTACCGTAAGGTAATACGCCCGACAGGAAAAAGTAGAAACTAGCAGCAAGGCAGAGGAAGAGCAAAACAGAAACCCATATCAGCATTTTAATCCCACCCCGTACCATACCGATTTTTAAAAAGCTAGTTATGATCATGGTAAAAGGAAGAAAAAAGAAAAATAGTTATCATACAGTTTATGGTATGCATGCATTTCGAAAGCCTCGACCATTTCTCCTGATCCTTAGATGCAGCAGTGAAAAACGTAGAGATATGGCGCGGGGCTTATGATAAACAGGGACAGCGGTTCAAGTTAGGCCGAAAGGCCCTTTCTCTGATCGACAGGTGGCTTTGCACCATTGACGGCGGGGTTGACTTCCTTGATTGGCTCGATATCATTCATGGTGATATCTTCGGTGTCCTTTTTACGTATTCCATTGGATTTGACGCCATTTCCTTGAGGAACTGGAGTATGGATTGGGGTAGGCTCCCCCCCGGCGACACGAACAATTTGGTGAACTTTGCTTGGAGACACAACACCATTGTTCCCAGCAGCGAGCGAAGCATCATCAGCCGAACCAGGAGCCTTGGGAATTTTGAATACGATCTTAAGAGACCTTCTCGGGGCGTCCTTATCTTCAGCTTCATCTGGTCCAGATCCCCAGCCAGCCTCGTCCTCAGACTCCTCTCGTTCGTCGTCTCCTTCATTGTCATCCTTATCGTCACCCTTGTACACGACAACGCCGACAAACGGAAGTCCACGATTATTGTAATCCCCATTTTCGCTCCCGAAGGGAGTGCCACGGCCTCCAGTGGCAGTTCCATTGCTACCATTGATTTTTACTTCGCCATAATCACCGGTGACCGGTTTGCGGATCTGCCTGCCAGATGCTGTGAATATTGGAGCCAGGGGTTGCGGTTGCGGATGTGGGGCAGGAGATCCTTTGTTGGAACGCGCACTACGCCTGGAGCGATTGTCATCCGGTTCAGATGTCTCTTTCCCACCCTCCTCGTCAGTGGAGAAATTGTATCTAATGCGCTTCCCACGAGTACGGCCTTCGTAAAGTGAGACTCCGCTGGGCTGGTTGAAGAATGCCTTTCTTGATGCACGATATTCTCGCTTCTTGCGCCTCTGTTGATCACATATTAGCATTTATATCAGCGTGAGGCCTGAATTATACATACGGTCTCGCCTTCCTCAAAGCGAGGTATGGCACCAGTAATTTTCTCCTTCAAAGCCAATGCATGTTTAGAACCATCCTCTTCCTCAAGCTCCTTAGCGACTGTCTGGATCTCCTCAATAGTGCCGGCAACAGAAATCCAAGTATGGGTCTTCAACGCAGGATTCGATTCCCTGTAAAGACGAAAGGGAGTATCGTCTGTTCCTCCGCGTGTCAGTCCAGATCCGGGGGGGGATGATATGGGAACAATTCCGAACCTCTTCCTTCAATCAACCAATATCTGCGCTTGTCCGCATCTCTGCCCCATGGTTGAACGGATAATGGTACGTTCAGGTCATCGTCGCGTCGACTGCCCTTGTACGAATCGTTGATGATACCGCGAATGACCTCCGAGGAACTCAAACTCCAATGAATCAATGCCTCAAGAATCTCCAGCTATATTATCGCACCGCTTCATTAGTTTCGCTCTTGGATAAACAACAGCATTCGAAGACTGAAGAATGGTACTCACACGTTGAGCTGTATCCAGATCACCAAAAGACTTGTTGCCGGAAAACGGGCTCTTTCCCTCCCAAGACGCAGGCCATTGATTTCGGTGTGCGTTGGCTGCTTCCTCCAAGGCACGTTGGTTATGGCCACGCCTGTGATGAAAGAAAAAAAATCCCACAAATTAGAACAAACTACCATTCAACCCATCACCACAATCCAAAGAAGATCTGTGCACAAGCTACCCGCCCGTTGCATAGGACCAATAAATAAATAAATAAATAAATAAAGGGCATGAACATAACTGAAGAGAAATTAAATGGAGAAAAGCGCCAAGTAGGAAAAAAAAAAAAGAGAAAGGAGAAAGAAAGAACTTACTCAACCGGTTTCTTCCTATTCAATACCAAGCTCAGAAGTTTGCAAAGGAGTTGCTCGATCTGCTCGGATGGTGTGGAATCCACGATTCCGCGCTCAATGTCTTGACAACCCAGATTGGGAACGCCTTTGAACGCGTCGGAAAAGCGAGAACGGAACATGACAATAAACGCCAGTTCTGGCGAATCTGCGAGTGTAGGCACATGGGGAGGCTCCTTCTTTCTAACTTTGCGCGGAGGAGTCGAGGCTTTGCGGACGAAAGGTAGCTTTTGCTGCTGCTTTCCCTTCACACTCTTCTTAGGAGCAGACTTCATTCTCGATACCCCCTTTCCTTTTCCTTTGGTAACTGCTGCTGCGACGGGGCTAGGAGGACTGATCTCATCGTCACTGGCGGGGGGTGAGGACAGAAGCGAAGAGAGGGGCGAGTCCAATCCAGAACTCATGGTTTCTAAGAACGCAACTCCGGATAGACTTAGTGCTTGTAGTAATATCTCCTAGGCGAAGATGCGCACGATCCCGCACGATTTCGCTCAATGTGGTGGTGGTGGTGGTGGTGGTGGCGGTTGCAAGAAGAAGACCCAGAAGGTGGGAGGAGTTGGGAGTCGAGAGTGAGGTTTACTGGGAGGGAAGAAGTGGATGTGTGTGCGAGCAGGAGCAGGGACGACAAGAAGAGAAGCGATGACAACACCGCAGACACCCAAGAGGGGCAAGCAATAAGGGCGCAGGCTTAATTATACTGTATACATCACAGAGTATCGGAGCCACATATATAGAAAGCTTAAGCCAGCACATAAGCTAACCTTATTCCTATCTTCTATACAAAAAATATCATTCATCCATGAAGGAAACGTTCTATGCAAGAAAGCTCCTAACTTTCGTTCTCCAGGAACCTATATTCCTGGTCTTCCAGTTATTCCAAGCCCCACACAAGTCACGAACGATCCAGTAGAGCTTCAAGTGCCTTGCTGGCACCAAACTCCAATGTCACCCGCAGCTCTTCTCAAATAACTCTTACAACCAAGGGGGAGACCCTCGCACAATCCACGGTTGGTGGGCCGACCGACTAGAGAATTGTGTGCGAAGCCGAGAATGATCCATGCATCAACGAAAACCGAACCGAAGGTCCCTATCCCCATATCTAAAGCCACCCGACCTGGGCAAAAACACCAGTCAGTCATCTCGAGAAGCAACATATCGAAATGGGACAGTCGTGTAAGACCCCACAGCACGCCTCCCCGAAAAAATTCCCACCGCAAAAACTTTCCGGAACAAAGCATGGGCCAAGGGAAATGGTAGCACCGAAATGCATTCTGCATTCGGAGAGAGAAAGAAGGGAGAAAGAAGGCCTCAAGCCGTGAAAAATATCTAGCAACCCTCCCCACAATGGGAAGCTGCCAACGAGTAGCGGCAGCTGCAACAACGAAAAGATCCTTAAACGCAGGACTATTTCCCAGAATTCTCAACGGACCCGAAATAACAACGCAGACCAGACCAGGCCGCTCACCGCGGGTCCAAGCGGCAATCCCTCAATCGATTGAGCAGGGCAGAACAAGGCAGAAATTTTTGTTGTCATCACAATGCGCCAGACAACTCCCACAACCCAATCAAATGAACTTCACACCCAGACAGAGGGGGTTGGAGGTAATATTTTTTGAGGAGACCAAAAGGTTGTAACCATAATGATGGAAACAAAACGGGCGGAGGATCATAAAGCTGAAGCTGAAGTGGCCGCGAATGGGTACCGTAATGAGGAGGCTTCCCAAAGACCCAAGAGTCAGTGACATCTAAGGGCTATGACAGAAACGCATTCGAAACTTCTCGCAGTAATGAGTAAACGCCCTAAGACACGATCCCCAAGGCCGAGAGGATGCCAAAGTAGTTGTAGCAAAAGGTTGAAAAAGTGGAGTATCAACCAGGGGATATCGATGGCAATTTTACGGTTGAGTTAACCGGGATTGCCAATGCACGAGGTTGCGTCAAATGGTGAAGCGAAAGCGTGTAGGCCACGATCGTGGGTGAGGGGGATGAAAGAGGTTGGAGGATCTCCTTGGCGATTTTGGAAGCTACTGTGGCGGGGCGAGGGAACCTATTGGGCATTTATCAGCCACAGAATATCACGGGATTGGGTAAGGTTGGTAAGCAGATTAGCACAACGAGTGAGAATTTGTGACAATTCGGGGAGACTTGAGGGCTTTGAAACTTGTTCACCTGTAAAGCTCTGCGGGTACGATGGCGTAAATTAAAAAAAAACCCCTCGGGGTGTTGGGAACAGGAATTCCGGGTAACACATCTTCCCCGAAAAAAAAGCCCCCCGATCGAAGTTTGACCTTTCTTTATGCCTCAAGGGACACATGGCCTAATTTATCATAAGTGCAAAATTCTTTTTTGGAGTTTTCCCGAGCAGAGCACTGGTCCAGGACGGCCCGATCGGTATGAGTGAGAGCAAGCGATATCGTATGAGACGGTTTGGAGTCTGCTCCATTAATAGACAATTCGATGACTACCGGCATCATGGCAGAGAAAACCCCACATGTCATCTTCCAAGGACCCGCCTCGGTTACACCCAGGGTTACACCCACGGGCATGGATACCGGTGTCAACCATTGTAAAGTATTTATTTTAGGCCCTGCTCGGCATGCGACCATAAAAAAAGAAAATGCAATTTTTCTTAAAACAGCATATTTTTGGATCTATGAACAGAATAATGGTTAAAGTACAATGAAAAGGTATTGTCTTATGGAGAATACCCCTCTCCTCATACTGGCCCAAAGAAAAGTCAAGAGGAGCATTTGTTGTAGTTAAGTAGAGAAATTAGTGATGTTGTAAAATATAGAGAAAAAGGAACCATCATATTTTGCAACATTACTAATTTCCCTACTTAACTACAACAAAAATACTTTCTCTTGACTTTTCTTTGGACCAGAATGAGGAAAAGGATATCTACTATAGGACTATAAACATTATTTTTCATTTAATTCTTATTCTGTTCATAAATTCAGAAATATGCTGTTTTAAGAAAAATAATATTTCTGTTAAGTAGCTACCTTTTTACCATATCCTCAGGCTCTGAAGAAAAATATAACAGTATACCACATCCATCCTATATCGTAAAACAATAACCATTGTCTAAGACCATGCAGTAAAAAGGAATTTGGAAGCAAAATTTATAAGAAGTATGATACCAAGAAACAACTTTTAATAAGTGTCTTAAGATTATTATACTCTAGGATAATGCTGGCTGGACCTGAGTCTGGACTGGCTAAGAGCTAGACATTTATCTACAAACTTATTAAAGAGTAAGTACTAAGAATAATTTATACTACTAGTTGAATAAAATCTAGAACTAATAACTATAGATTTACAAGTAGGCCAAGATGAATGGCAGACCTTCAAATACTTATCACTCTGGTCATTCTCCTATATTTAGTGATAGCGAAAAGAAGCAATTTGTCACAAACTGTAACTAAGCAAGGCAGATTTTACATAGCTCGGAATTTCAAGCTATAGGTATATTGGAATTTCACATGACGCACACTAGTACACCATAGGTTATTATGTTGACCTGTTCATGACTCACAGTTGTGAGTCACCTGATGTTATGATTTTCGTACATGACTCAATTTATGAGTCATGGGTTTTGCTCAGGTCACGCAAGTTGCATGCGTGACTTGGTTATTATGTTTTGATTGGTTTTAGGTACTCGTGCCAAGGTTGTGGCTGGCCGCCACAACCCCCGCACGTTCGCAAGCTCACAACTGGGGGCACTCTAAAGAGTGCCTGACAGCTCAACGGTACTTTATGGCTCAATGGTACTTTGTGACTCACCACAGCAACTTTGTGGCTCAACAGCACTTTGTGGCTCAACAGCACTTTGTGGCTCAATGCACTTTGTGGCTCTGTACAATTATGTATATTAAGATAACCTTTTAATATACCAATACAACTTTTCAGTCTAATACAACCTTATACACAAGCCTATCACTATACTACTAGTATCAGATTATAACCTTTAAAGTTTAAAGAATACAATATTTGATTTTATATCAATTTCCGCAACCTTGCTTGTTGCTTAATTCCCATTACTATTAGCCTAGATACCTTTTTTTTATAGGCTTAAGCTGCACGTCTTTCGTTTCCCTTTGCCTTTATCTCATAAAGGAATGGTTTACGTTGAGCTCGCTGTACTTTTTTTGGGCACTTTGTGCCCTCCGCAATTGCTTCTCAGCTTTTTCTACCTCTGCATCTTCTTTTTTCTTTGCCATTTGGCATGCTTGTGATGCATACAATACACCTTTACTTTGTATTTGCCTCTGGCTTTGTGCTCTGCTGTTACACGTATGAACACACAGACCTTCCCGCGCACAGACCTCCTGAAAACCGCGAAGATTTCATAGCCAACACCCCCCTCCGGCCCCGCCGTTGGCCCTGCGCGCAGTAATAGTGTCGCCGGAATTTGGTGTCCCGACAGTATAAACCGGTGAAAGCGAATTATGCTTCATAACACCGTATACATCATCACCGTCCGTCTGACCGGAAGCTGTTCGCAGGATATATAAGAGGGGACCTCAGGCCATGTCTGAAAAGTGGAATGGAGTCAATCAGACAGGTAACCGTGGAGCTACGGGCTAAGTGAGGTTGACTACCTTGGACATGGACAGAAAGTGTTGGGACAAAATTGCCAACAGTCCAATGAGTTATCGGGACGTGCCCGTAAGGACGAGGCATGGAGCCCAGTCTAGTGCTCGCACAGTGTAGAGCCAACCGGAGGCATATCTGTGGATGAGGATCTTTCCTATGACGTTGACTAGTCCGATCGTGGCAGAAAGTCCTCAAAAGTTAATGCAGTCAAGTTGTGAAGACAACGAGGCATTTGATAAGACTCTCGACTGAGCTGATCACTCCAGTCAGAATAAGGAGGATGGTGAGTTGGCTTGAGGTGAGACCACTCGCTCATACCTAAGCCTCCGAGACGAAGGAATCATGCGTTTTCGCCAGAGAGGTTTCAAACGGCCTCGCGGAAACACGACAATGCATGGAGACCGTAGTCCGAGCAAGACGTAAAGTTTGTCAGGGTCAAACGGGATCCCCGTACGATAGTAGGGGATAGAAATTAGAAAGGGTACATTGTTTAGCGATAGATAGATGTAGTCCGCGACCACCCAGACGCGGAATATAAATATTGAGGTGCCTCCTTAGCTTTCAGAATACCGTCGCAGGGCCCTCTCTCTCCCTGGGGGTTGGTCGGTCGGAGGCCCTCCTCGGCTGGCTAGCAGGTGGTGGGATCCCTTCCACTACAGTGACGCTATCTCTCCCAGAACAAGGGACTACATGAGAGACGCGGTAAAACACCTGCTATGCTTTGCCCGGGCGGCCGTTGATGATCTTCCTTACTCCTCCTCCCTCCTCCCCCCACGCGTGGCGGGGAGTCCTCTCCTCTTCCTGAGTTGGCTTGCTTAGCCTTCTCACGGTCGGCAACCCCTTAACCACCATCGTCAGACGGCCGGGACTACAGTTGCAGTAGGGGAGAACAGCCAACAGGCTATGGTCGATCTCCCCATTCTCTTGTTTCCCTAAGAGGCTGCCTAGTCAGACACGAACGCGATTACCGATAGACGATGTTTAAGGTCTTTGGGTCTACCCCACCAC